TGCATAGCATAGACACTTCACAAAATGTGACTTCACAGTCACCGGCCCTTATTCAATGGAATGGACAATGGTATTGTCCTTGATATTGATAATATCTTCACATTTCAGGAGGGGCTACTTAGATCTTAGAAGACTTCCTTATCAGTTATTGAGAAATGCCATGGGATTTCAGAGATGTCACCAACATCATAATCTTAAGGAAGTGCAGAAAGCCAACTGAAGTACTCAAGGACATCTTGTGACCACCTTCCTGCAGGATCTTCTGTGAGGTCACCTAGATTCCATTTTAGGCGATTCAATACGATCAGCAGACCACACCTCATGCAGGTTGCTCAGTTGATCTCAATCTTAAGATTTTTTCAGGTGAGTCACAGCAACCAGGATTTCCTCTCAGGAATTCCTCCTCCACATAAATCCAAGTTTGGGCAGTTAATTAGACTATATCTATGGTTCTTTGAAAACCTTCTCAACAATTATGAACAATAATCATCAAGAGAACTTCAGGTATTTTGTGGCTGTTGCAGGCTGATCCTTGGGCTCTAGGGGCACAAGAAGTAAAAATGAGACGGCACTTTATAGTATTATTGTCCAGAGTACTGCGGATGGAATAGTACAAGGTCATTTGCCAGATTAATTGTAGAAACCCCATGGGCAATTATTCACTTTCCTCGGTGAAACAGACCTGATGACTAATGCAGCTTGATGTCTAGCACTGACACACTGACGTGGAAGTGGGGCATGGAACATGCTCTTGATGCTTGAGCATTTCATCACTCTCATGGCACCGAACTATTTTAAATGCAGTAGGCCAGGATCAGGATGGGTGAGGGTGTTTGGTGACCACGCACAGGACAGGCAGCAGGTGCTTAAATGTCACACCGAAGAAAAGAAACTTCATAATTGGAATCACTGGCATAACTAGCTCCTAGGTAGACAAAACATGAGGAAAAGGCAAAGAGTTCCAACCAGCATCAGCCTTGACTGGCAATGGCTGCTGCTGTGCCTTATGGAAGGGAAGGTGGGTCTTAGCACATTCAACTGCACAGCAAACACTGTTATGTTAGCAGGGTAATCTTTTTTTAAAATAAAAAAATAGATTTTCATCTTGTTTTTAAAAAATGTATTATTTTAGAGAGGAAACCGATTTGTTGTTCCATTTATGCATTCGTTGGTTGATTTAAAAACTGTCTTTATTGATTTGTAGAGAGCGAGGGAGAGGGATAGAGATAGAAACCTCAATGAGGAACATCATCAATAAGCTGCTTTCTGCATGCTCCCAACTGGGGATGAGCCCACAACCCTGGCATGTGCCCTAACCAGGAATCGAACTGTGACCTCTTGATGCTCAAACACTGAGCCACACCGGCTGGGCATTAGTGGATTCTTATAAGTGCTCTGACTGTGGATCAAACCTGCAACCTCGGTGTACTGGGACAATGCTCTAAGCAACTGAGCTATCTGGCCAGGGCTAGCAGGCCTGAAAGAGGGAGAAAAATCTCATTTCTGTGTAAAATGTGTGTGTGTATGTACCTGCCATGGGGGTGGTATGTGAAGTGGGTGACGACCATGTGTGTCTCTTGCCTATAGATGTCCCTGCATAAGAAGCCCAAGTTAGGAAGAGGAAGAGCGGCTCTCTGCTGGGTGCCAGGGAGAGGGGTGTGCTGTCCTTGGCTGACCTCTCTACTTTGTTGGTCCTACACATTCCAGGCGAGCCCATGGGGACGCAGTGCCCCCCTGTGGTTATCATGGTTCCTCCTAACTTTCCCCAGTTCCCAGTTCCCTTCCTGAGTCTCCCATGGTCTTCCTGAATCTACACAGTAGTTACATAGTGCAGGCCTGATACCATGTGGTGGCTCCTGTCCATTCTTGAGATCAGAGCTCAGAGGCTCACAGGAAAGGGGGGTGACTTCATAGAAGCTGAACCACAAACTCCTTACTTTTTGTCTCTGCTTCAGCCTTAGGACTCCTGTTTCTTTCAATCTCAAGGAATGTTTCCCTGACTGTAGGGACAGAAGTCCAAGATAGCTAAGAGATGGCTCATTGGAAAGGAGAATAAAACTGAAGAATACAGTGATGAGAGCACTGCAATGTCCACTTGAAAACTGTGGAACTCATGAAGAGAATTTTAAAGGGTAATTCTCTGAAGTACAGAGTGAAACTGTAGCACGTGGGATGGATAAATATATAGCAAAAGTAGAATGCATTGTGTATTTGACATTTAACAAATCTAATAATAGCAACTTAACAAAATAGAATAAAAAAGAAATAATCAAAACTTTAAGCATCCCTGTTTGCACCCCTTTTGCTTCACCTTTGGTAGTGTCCATGGGCTCCTCCCTGAGGTCAGTGGGGGAGTCTGAAGGTATCTGACTGGTTGGCACACCCACATGTACCAACCCACTCTGATTCTGGCCTCCAGTCCTTGTATTCCAAGTTTCAGAGCCAGAATCAACAGTGTCCTGTCGTGAGTGAGGCAAGACCCTGGAAAATTGTCCTTCATGGGATAGGTGAAGTGGCATAAATGATCTCACAAGTTTGCCTACAGCTCTTTGGGTTTTGTCCTGGGTGTATCTTGTTCTCTGAGGGACCTCCCACCCTGCTCTGGTACATTTACTAAACCGGTTTCTCTTTGATGCGGTTCCCCATCTCATTGTCGTCACATATTATCACCTTACAACCGCAATATCCAAACCTAACCTTCAACCTGCAAGCAGAGGGCAGGTGGTGGGAGCTGCAAGGGGTTGCTTCAGAGAGCCATTTATTGGTGCAAAAATGGAAATCTGGTTCAGCAGGCCAGTCAGAAGTCTCTATTTTTCCTGTTTAAATATATAATAAACAATCCATGTGTGGGGTGGAGAATGAGGATGGGGATCAGGGGTTAAGACTTGAAAACTGTTCCACATAAAATTTCTTGTGACTATTCCAACTAGCTTCTACTCTTATCCTTTTCTCCATCCTACATATCTTCCCTCCTATTTTTATTGTTTAACTCATAATCTTAATTTTCTTTAGTTACAAACTGTCTCTCAAGGCTGAATCAAGGATCACTCCTGATTCTGGCTTCCAGTCACCATGCCCTAGTGAACTCAGCTCTCCCTCCTCTCCTGTGGTTCTCATGCCTGTTCTTATTGCATCTTTCCTTGTTTCAGTCTCATTTAAAAATCACATTCATCTTCTGCTCCCTTACAGCCCTCTCTGGCTCCTTGCTGGGGATCTTTTGAAAATAGTCAAGATTGTTTCTCTTCCTGATCCTGATGTTACCTTTATGGAGCCATTCCCTAGTTTCTGTCCTGGTTGGTAAGGATCTTGGGAACGGGAAATGGTCATGGGAAGGAAAGAAAGCACTGCTGGCTGAAAGTAGATGTGGCTAAAGGGGAGTCTAAGTGCTCCTGGGTTGGGAGGAGGCAAAACACATGAGTCACTCTGCTTGAATTCTCCTGACCTCTGCTCATTTACCTCAAATGCTGATTTCGTCAGTGACCCAGAAACACATGAAGAGCCCTGGAGTCTAATGTACTTCTCCTCAAGTCTCCTTTCTATAGTCTACAAATCCTCTGTACCAGAAATAGCTCTCTAATGTCCATATAATCATGTCCCTTCCAATTCATCCTCTGAATGTCCTGGTAAGATCACTTAGGTTGAAAGCAGCAGAGAAACTGATGCTGGACATTTTCTATTGGCCCCTCCAGGTTTCTTTCTGACCCATGCTTCCTCAGGCTGATCTATCAGCAATGCACCAACAGATGTTTTTATCCTTTGGCTTTTGTTTGGGCGGGGCCAGTAAAAGACAGGACAGTAGATCAAGAGTAGGAGAGTGAAGGTATTCCTCTGCTTCCTCCTATGGAGCCCCTGCAGGCTGCTGTATTCTTCTACCAAGGGCCACAGCTCTTAATGGATGGCTCTTGAGTTTCTGGTAACTGCTCCTTCTTTTCAGCCAGGGTAACAGAATTGCTATTACTCAGCCCCATGGTGGTCCATCATCACTTGTTGCTCTGTCCTAATCCTGGCCACACCTTCTACACACTTTCTTTTAAACTTGCCTCAATTATCCAATGTGCTCTCTGCTTTCTCCTGAGACCCTAACACATAAGACAGGAGGAACAGGTAAGGTAAAAATGAGGAAGGGAAGGTAAGAAGAGAATCTGAATATTGAGGTTTTCTTAGCATCACAAATACATGGGTTTGAAGCCTAGTTAGTTGGGTGATCAAGTTATTTAACTTTGGAGTGCGCTTCCCTGGACTTTCTATGGGGATAATATCTACCAGGCAGGGTTGGGAAGGGGAGATAATATATGTGGAAGCTACAGTAGAATTCCTGGCACATAGCGGATGTTCCATGTGGAAACTCTATCATCATGACAACATACTAGGCCCTGTTCTGTGTTACGTGTGAGTGCATTTAGCACTGAAGGGAAGCAGAATAGGATGGCGCTTCAGGGAAATTACTTCATCATTTTTAAAAATATATTTTATTGATTTTTTACAGAGAGTTAGGGAGAGGGATAGAGAGTTAGAAACATCGATGAGAGAGAAACATCGATTCAGCTGCCTCTTGCACGCCCCCTTCTGGGGATGTGCCGGCAACCCAGGTACATGCCCTTGACCGGAATCGAACCCGGGACCCTTGAGTCCGCAGGCCGACGCTCTATCCGTTGAGCCAAACCGGTTAGGGCAACTTCATCATTTTTATTTAGCTTTGCTTTTAGCTTGGCTTCTCACTGATCCCTGGGTGCGTGAGCTGGGCTGGTGAGGAGGTTTCTATTCTGAATTTGTGGGAAGGGGAATGGGAAGGACAGAAGACAGGAATGAAGTGAGATGAGAATGGAACTGAGGAGACCTTGCCCATGTTAAGGCCACTTGAGCTTCTACACTGAAAGCATTTGAAGGGGCAAACTGGTGAGGGTGCCTGAGCTCACAGGGCACACCTCCTCTTTCCCTGTCCCTCCACCAAGTCTGAGACATTCCTCCACCTCGTGGGTCATAGCCGTCCTGCTCCTCAATTCCAGGTAACCAGCTGTTTTATTTGTGCAGTTTTTAAGAGGAGCAGCACATTGTAGGGGTTACTCGCCTGAAAGGCAAATGGCCCGTTGGGGAGGGACCAGAGGCACAGTGGCAGGTAGGGCAGGCGGAAGGAAAGGCACCGTCTCGGCAGAGCCAAGTAATCACCCTTGGAATTTATCTGGCGTCTTTCTCTCTTTCCAAACACACTGCTTCTTAACCCCGCAGCACAAGGCAGCTGGAATGAGACAGAGGCTCAAAGAGCAATAGTGTCCCTGAAGCCACACAGGACTCAGTATGAAAAATAGAAACCAGGTGAAGTAGGCTCCATTGAGCCTGATCTGAAGAGTTTGTTGGACATGTGGGCGGCTGGGAGTGGGGTAGGTGTGGTTAGTGTAGAAAAAAATCTAGATCCCCACCGTTTCTGTTTTTAAACCTCTTCTCCTCTAAATGCTGGGAACTCTGGCTCAGGATCTCAACACCTGTGGGTAAGGTGGGAGCGGGCTGTTGGAATTTCAGCAATGCTCCCATGTCTGGGGGACATGGCTGCAAGTGATACAATGGCTAGGGGCTCTGATTCCAGAAGAAAAGACTGCATCCAACACTCACCCTCCCCACTTCCTGCTCCACTAGGCAGCAGTTGGGTAACCTGGAGAAAGAAACTATAGCATGCTTGAAGGGGGAGGGTAAAATGGACATTTATTACACACAGTAGCAAAAATGGAACAAGAGTCAAATCTGCAGTGATGGTCTTTATATCAATTCTCCAAAGTATAGGCACTCAACCTAAAATAAACGTCCCTTTCTCAGTCCTGGATGAGCAATGGGATCTCACGTAGGAGAGGCTGGGATCCAGTTCATGGGGATGATGCCCAGGGAATGGCACTTAGTCTCAGTGGAGAAATGTCTGAGGACCAAAGCCTTTTGGGAGGTGTCTCCTGGATCCATCAAAAAGTCAGGAATCTCTCAGGCCCACAAGGCAATTAAGGCCATGAAGGCAAAACCAACGGTTACACAGGCCCACTTGAGCATAGGGGCCTCAGGAGCAGCTAGCTCCCTGGGCAAAATTTCTAGGAAGGTGACATACAGGAAGGTACCAGCTGCAACACCCTCTAACACAGCCTGGGCTAAGCCTTGCCCTCCTTCTGAGTCCCCTCCAGCCACAGCCAGCCCTATGGCTACACCCAGGGGGGACATGAGAGCAAATGACAGTATGTAGAACACGGCCCATCGTGGTGCAGTGCCTACCTGCACCAGTCGCAGTCCTACACCAAACACTATGAGCCCCTTGTGAGCCAGGACAGCAAGACAGAGCTGCACGGTGGCTACTACTGTTGTCTGCAGCCCCACAGCCAGACCTTCAAACACCGAGTGGAAGGAGAGAGAGAGCAAAAGGATGAGGGCTCGAAAGGGACTCTGTGAGGGTGAGGGTAGAGATCCATGGCTGTGGAGTCCAAGGACATGAGCCCCACCCACTTCCTCCTCCTGCACTTTTGATCCTCTGTGGGCTCCAGGACAGCACTGCAATGCCAGCGACTCCAAAAAGAAGACGAGGAAGAAGCCCAGGGAGATGATGAGCTCTCCATAGGGATAGTCTGTCTGGGAACAGAGAGAGGGGCTGTGGGACAGGAAAGGAAGTGCAGTGGATGGAGGTGCGGAGGTGGGATGGGAGACTGGAGAGAATGGGTAATGTGGGACTAAAACATTAAAAAGGGTAGGCGAATGAAGCCTGGAGGAGATACGGACATGCAACAAGAATACCAGAGGGACCAAGGTCGCAGTGTCAGTAGGGTTGAAATGTGGGAAAACGATGGGGAGCATGTCTAAGGGTCTAGGGAAAGAAGGAAAGAGTAAAGCCAGAGCTTTGTCTGGGGTTCCATAAACCCCAAAGTATGGGGTTGGCTCCTCCTTTCCCTACAGTGTCTGAGCTGAGGAGCAGAGGGATTCCTGGTATTCCTCACGTCCTCTCCTCAAAAGGATCTGGGTATGAAGAGTCTCTGGTTCGCCTCACCCTCCAGGTTGGGTGTGAGAGATACTTACAGAAGCTGAATTAGCATCTCCAGAAGAATTTCCTCCACTCTCTGTCCTGTTCTAGAGAGGAAAAAGCAGAAATTAGATGAGGGGTGGAGCAGCTCAGCTTCCTGTCCTGTCCCTTCAGCTCCACTGCTTTCCTTACAGTCTAATCTGACCTGTCGTCATGATTCCACACAACACAGAGCTGTCATTGTCTCTATCGTTCCATGTCCTTGGCTCCATCACTTTCCCCCCTTCCTCCCCTTGGTTCTGTTCATCATCTGGCTTCTCAGCCCTACACCTCAGCTGCTCACCTGCATCATGACCTTCCGGATCTCCGACTCAATTCCCTCCAGGGCTTCAGCAGTCATGTGCATGAATCCTGCTCCCAGGAAAATACCGGCAGAAATGCAGCCCAGGAGGCTGAGGACCTGGCGGTGACGACCTAATGAAAAGCAGGAGTTACAACCAGTTGGCAATGAGGAGATGGACAAAGGTGACTAACGAGCAACAAGGAGCACTCAACATCCAAGCATGGGGATGGCAAGAGAATCAGAGCAAGTGTCAGGGTAGGGTGATAGGGTTGAAGTCAGGTTATGGGGGCAAAGATACAGAAGGGCTATACCTCTGGCTGCTTCAATCTGGAACCATTTGAAGCAGATGGGAATAAGGCCACAGACCAGCGTGACAACCAGCATGGCAAAGAGGCAGCCAATTTTTACTTCTAGCACTGGCTCCATCCTTGGGGTACAGGATAAGCAGACCTCAGAATGACAAACGGAGTTACAAGCTTTGGAGCAGGAGTGGTGCCTTAGGTGGTCAAAGCTGTAGTGTCCACCCCTGAGTTTCAGGAAGCTGTTGGATTCTCTGGTTTGTGCTGCCTGATTGCACAGCCTTGCATAGCCGACTGGGGCCCAGCCCTAGTTTCCCGCCCTCTCCCTACATGGAGGCCCCTCCCCTGGCTCACACCAAAACCAGAAACTCCAGACTCCCTGCCAGGCACAGCCCTGTGCTGTCTTCTCTTCAGTTCCATGACTAATCCAAGGGCTGTGGACTGACTTAGTTCATGCCTGGGGCTGGTCTAATCTAAAATGGCACAGTCTGTGGTGCTACTTCCCAGCTATTTTGTGTTGGAGACAATCTGGTCCTGGCTCACTCAGGACATTTGATCGAAGCCTTCCATACCCTCCCCACCCCAATGCAAGTCTTATAGGCTGCTATGCTGATACCTGAACCTTACCCTTTCAGAGGGGATTTGGGGCCACCGGGGTTAAGAAGGAGGTGGGGCTAAGGAGTGGTGCTGCTGCCACTGTGGGAATTAGTGGATGAGGGGACTCCCCTTGCCTGTAACCCCAGAAAAATAGCTCCAGGTATGGAAATGTCTATGGGAGTTGAGATTTCTAGTATTACAACACTGAAACTGTTACCACTTCTGACTGTGCCTACTTCCTGATATACGTTGTGGGAGAGGGACTGAGAGTTTTATTACACAGAAAGTTGCTCTAGCTCTGAAACAGCAAGGCCTAGGGGAACACAGAAATGAACCAAGTAAATGAAGGACCCTGCCTGGATATGCTGGGGTTGAGATGGATGATTTGATCCTGAAAGAATCAATTCTTGAAGGACACTCATGATGCAAACTCTGGGGAGCTGATGAACCCTGAGAGAGCTAAAAGGAAAGGAAGGAGGGAGAAAAACAGAGGCCAGGCAGCTGCTGGTCACCTATCCAGGTGGCCCGTCTAACTACCCTGAGACCTGTTGAGCCAGTTCTCAGAGCGCTGGGGGCAGCGTTCCCCACTACCCATTACTTCCCTGGGAAGTCCCGGTCTCTGGGAGAAGCAGCAGTATTCTTACAGGAGGGGCTGAGCTTGAGGTTTCTGTGGGGAGACAGGCATTGAATCTCTGAGGACTCACTTCGTTACAGGATAGGCAGTGATGACTAACATTTATACCTTTTAAGAATCACAAGACCCAGTCCCATTCTTTGAAAACTTTTAATTATTAAAACTTCAAACAAATGCAGATATATAGGGGTACCAGCACTCCCATCCTGGATACCAGGTAGCTTTAGCCTTGGCAGGCACGATGCAAGAAACTCTTGTTACACATCCTTGTTAACTCTCAGGGGGATCTTCAACAGGGGACGGAAGAAGCTCAGACGGCGTGGTCACAGGTAAAAGATCTCCCCAGGAGCTGACACGGGCACAGCGATACAAATCCCTATGAAAAAGAGAGGTCAATGTGGGGGGTGGGTTCTTGCCCCCTCCCACTAATTGTGGTCACAGCCTCCGTACCTGCCATGGCGGCGGGCTGTGAGCACAGCATGCTGCATATGCCCATCTGGACAGCACAGGTGACAGTGCACATGGCGTGGCCGTTTAAGGACAGGCTGAGTGATCCGGGGCCAGCGATTAGCTTCCTCTGGAGACCCCCGGGCAAGGATTACCATCGAGAACTTTTCCTCCTTTGGCTTCTTGCTCTGAGGTAAGGATAGAGGGACTGTTTTGGGGGAAAAGATATGGGGAAAATGTTGACCCCCATTCCTGTAGCCCTTTACATATTCTAGGTCATGCACATTCAGGCCCTACAAACGCTCTCAGAATTTTCCAACTCCTCCCACCTGGTTCTTTTTCATCATGCTTTCCCAAGCTACCTCCTCCCTGCTGCCATATTCCCAGGTACATACCCAGCTGAAGGGGATGGGATGGTAAGCCTGGGAAAAGCTACAGGCCAGGGGCTTAGAGGCTGTCAACTGGGGACAAGGAAGTTCATGGGGACACTGTAAACACACATGAAAAATATGAGGTAAGATGAAAGAACCACAGATCATAAAACTGGGAAACTAAGGGTGCTAGGGTCAGGAAGGGCTAGGGGTAAGGGAGCACAGGAGTAGGGTGTAGGGAGAGCAGGGGATCCACTAAGAAGAAATCGGATCAGGACACAAAGCAGTGGAGGGAGGCTTAGCTTTGCTCTCTCACTTGCCCTGGACACAGCTGCGCTCAGCTCTTTGCATGCTGGGAAAGGTAGAAGCAATACTCACTGGGGCAAAGACAAAACCAGGTCGAGGGTCCAGAGGTGACTTCTCCTTTCCCTGAAATCAAAGGAAATTAAAAAATTAAGCTGGACCTGCAGGGTCTATTCTCATAAGTCAATCTCTGCTCTCAGTCAATTGAGGACTTCTTTAACATCCGATTCTGGTAATTACTAACTATGTTCTTTGAGTTAAGCTGGCTACTTCTCTAATACTCCAAACAAAGAACTTTCTCTTTGCAGCAGGAGAAAGGCAGGAACTTGGCACATAGAATGGTGCTCTTCTTGTCAGCAACCTCCACTCTCAAAAAAATCCCATTCCAGGACAATTAAATTCATGATTTTACACTGGCTCATACAGTCCTAGAGATAAGGTTTTTGGCTCAGCCATGTCCTAGGTCAGGGGTCAGCAAACTTTTTTAAAGGCCCAGAGGGTAGGCAAAATCTGTTTCTGTCCCAACCATTCATCTCTGCCATTTGTAGTGTGAAAGCAGCCATACACAACAGACACTCAAATAAGCCTGGCTCATACAAATCCTGGCAGGCAGGATTTGATCCACAGGCCCTACTTTGCTAACCACCACCCTACATCATAATGACTTTACACGCCTACTCGCCCGAGAGTCACTTACTTTGTACGACAGTCTTTTCAGTTTTCAAGGGAGTACTGGTAATTGGTGACAGATAGGTAGGGGTTGGGGGAAGAGAAGGAGAAAGAACCTTACCTTAAGGACCAGGTCCCTGGCTTCCATGAGAAGGCAGTGCCCAGCTTTTGTTCCATTCTCCACCAATATCTGTTCACAAAGGGGAAAATGAGCAGAAGCCCCGAATTACATGAAAACACAAATGTCAGTAGCTCTGTAAGAGCATTCACAGATGGAACAGCAGTCCTAAAGGAAGGGGCATCACATATAAGATTGGGATGGTGACCCTAAAAGAGGGACAAAGGAATCTATGCAGGAGAAAAAATGGTCAAGGATGCAGACAAGCTCCAATGTAGAGAAGGAAAGGAATGAAACCCATGAAGCTGCTTTAAAACTTGAAGGGAAAAGTGGATTTTTCCTCACCAGAAAATCACTCGTCTTGCGCCACAAGGTTTGGACTATCTCAGCGCGGTCAGCCTTGCTGGGCAGTTCACTTAGGGAAAAGGCTGATACCCCCACATTGAACTGTACCTGAGGACCAAGACAAAGAACAGGGCAGACCTGCCATCTCCCCCTTCCTTGAGCACAATAAAGTTCTATCTCCCTAAATGTATTCTGTTGTCTTTTATCTTCTAACACTCAATGCTGGATTGCAATGCTGAGGCCATGCAGTTTTCCATCTGCCAAATTCCACATTTAGCATACTCTACATAGTGCCACTTGCCTTAGGTGATACAGGTAGAAACTGTCTGAAAAAGACACCTGGAATATACAACTTCCCATTTTCTGAACCACCTGTAAAGACAAGCAGAGGTGTGGCAACTATGAGTGTATAGCACTGATTTTTAACTGGTGTGCAGCAAGAATGTTTAAAACATGTAATACCTGACTGTTTAGTGAGGGGCACTGATCTCTTTTCCCTTAGACTGTCAAATAAAAAAATGACAGCCAAAACAATAGCCATGATGTGAATGAATCAAAATGATACCTATTTTTTGTCAGACGACAGCCAAAACAATAGCCATGGTGTGAATGATCAAAATGATACCTATTTTTTGTCAGATGGGCAAAAAATATATTTTTTGGCGTGCTGCTGAATTCTAATAACTAACTTATGTGTGCCATGAGATGAAAAAAGTTGAAAATTGCCAGTGTATAAATATAAATTGAAGTGATATCCTGGTAAGAAATATGGCCCTGAGAATAAAGAAAAATGCTAGGTGAGAGTGAGATGCATAGGGTAAGCAAATATTAAAAAGGTCAGGGAGAATATTGGGAAACCTGTCTGTTAATCTTTCCCAACCCATTCACAGTCCAGTAAAGACTCCTCCCTACGCCCACACTTGACCATAAAATTGGAAGGAGACCAAATTCATCTTTAACTTTTAGCTCTCTCCCTTACTCCAGAATAAAATACTCTCTCCAGTATTCCTTTGCTTTCTTAACTCCTTCAACTTTGGAAAAGTCCTTCCTTATAGCTTGTCCTCACCTTTCAGTAACTTTTCTGCCAAATCCAACATGGCAGCTGAACTGTCCACACACATATATTCACGTAGGCTCTGACCCCAAATACTATGAGCAGCCCTAAGATGACAAAATATAAATCACCAGTTCTCATGACAAAGAATCATTCCTACAAGAGAACCCTCTATCCTGAACCCCACCCCTGGGGAAACAGAATGCTATGTTAAAATGTTGGAAAAACTAACTTTGTTATTTTCTTATTTACAGTTCCTTAAAAAACCAAACAAACACAGACTCAAGAAAATTACTGTAGGCAAAATAATTTTGATGATATGTAAAACTTATGCCCTACACTAAATTCCTTTATCTTTGTAAATGTGGGTCTTTTATCACTTAACATTTAAGTTCTGACTCTAATCCATCTATCTTCTCATGCCTTGCCCATTCTGAGGGAAGAAACATTTGAATTCCCAACTTTCCTATTCTTCCTCTGGTTCCCCAGTCTCTTGATATTGGTGTTGTGTAAGCATGGCTCTCTAGAGCTAGAATGGATAGAGACAGAGAAAGATACTCACCAGGTGACAGAACCAGTACCTGACCCAAAGTCCATCAGGGTTTTTGGTTGGAACTCTGGAAGTTGAGTCTGGATCTAAAGAAATATACAACACCCCACAGTAGGGTAAGTAGACGCTTTTTAGGGCCTTGGCGAAATGAATTAGGAGACCAAGACAGAGGGTATGAGAGGGTGACTGTATTTTGAGATTTAATATAAATACTTTACATAACAGGAAGCTCCTAAAACAGTGAATCTAAACCTTTCTGGGTCACAATATCCTTTCAGAGGATAAGAAGAGCCTCTTAAAAAATGTACATGAAACGTCTCAAGAATCCTACCCCAGAAGACTACTTTATGAATAAGGGAACTGATGGTAAAAGGGTTCAGGTTGGAAGTTGCAGGATCTTCACCTCATGGAATGCCCTGGAGACTGCGGCAAAGCCACCATCCAGTCTTGCGGCCATATACACCAAGCTCAGTCCCTCATTGTAGCTGCCAGAAAAAATCAGAGTCATTTCCACTGGGCAGTAACCTCTATCCCATAGGTACCTCTAGATTTTTAGGAAATGAAATTTTTGGAATGGGCTCTTCCAGGTCAACAATTT